TTGTCAATAAACAATGAAAGGCATCTTTGGATCATAGGTTGTGGGGTGGCTGTCCTCTAACCGAACATCAAGTCTCAACATAAGACTGAGTGTTGGCAGAGGTACCTGTGAGACCGATGTGATCTGTTGAACAGGTAGGTGGGAATTATCTTGTGACAAGCATGGGATAAACAGAAATCTCAAAAAAAAAAAAACTGGACCTCTTTGGGAAGAAATGTCTTAGGAAGAGACGATTTCATAAAAGATCACGCAAAAAAGAAAATGAGATTTCCAAGTGACATTTTGAGTATAACACACACCGTCAATTCATTTTAGGTATTGGATGTTGGGTTTCACTAGGAACGTGGTAAGCGAATCCAAGATCATAAACACAGATGTTGTGTAACCATAAGCTTCAGTGGTTAAGACCGAAAGCATCAAGGGTTACTTTAGGGAATCGAAGGTAAGTGTAGAATTTGAGGAGGTGGTTAAGAGACCGAATGTACCTTCTGCTACAGAAGTGGGACAAAGCAGAGCAACTCATGTTTCAAATGAGAAGAGTAAGGTAGCTCTAGACCGAGTGTTAAAAAATAGCCTGATTGGGAAGAAACGATAGGTATTGATCGAATCATTAAGGCTTACTCAAGGTCATAGAGGCTTGTGACAACATACAGCAGCATGCTTCTAGGGACGTCTAACTAGTCTGAGAGAAAAATAAAACATACCTGGGTGAACACTATCGAAGGTGATACTTGTAGTTACCTGTGCAAAGCTTACACCAACCAGGACTTGCGAGTAGTGGAAATAAGTAAGAAAACGGAATAAAACAGAAAGATAAAATGTTTTTGTGATTTTGAAATTTTTCTGAAAAAGAAAAAAAAAGATAAAATGTATTTGTGATTTTGAAATTTTTCTGAAAAAGAAATAAAAACAGAAAGATAAAATGTACAACATAAAAAATGATAAAGCAGAGATAGACTGAGCAATCTGTGTATTTCGGTGACATTAGAAATTTCAGAACAGAGAGGAACGAAGTCTGTCTGTTTGTCCATTAAATTAGACAGAGAGAGACCGAGGTCTGTCTATTTCGGTTCATTAAATCTCAGAGCAGAGAGAGACCGAGCGGTCTGTCTATTTCGGTTCCATTAAATCTCCAGAGCAGAGAGAGACCGAGCGGTCTGTCTATTTCGGTTCATTAAATCTCCAGAGCAGAGAGAGACCGAGCGGTCTGTCTATTTCGGTTCCATTCTTAGTTAGAGATTTGAGGGTTCGGGACTGACTCTCCTACCATCATACCTAAGCCTTGTAGAATTTTGTTGAAAGTCGCTTCAGGAAGAGCTTTGGTAAAGACATCGGCCAACTGATCAGTGGTTCGAACAAAGTGTACTTCAACGTTTCCATCTTCCACGTGATCTTTGATGAAGTGATACCTCAGTGCTATGTGCTTGGTCTTGGAGTGTTGCACTGGGTTATGACAAATCCTAATTGCACTTTCAGAGTCACAATATAGTGGGATCTTTTTCATATTGAGTCCATAGTCTCGGAGTTGACTCTGGATCCAAATCACTTGAGAGGTACAGGAAGCAGGGCAATGTATTCTGCTTCAGCAGTAGACAGAGACACGCACGTTTGTTTCTTTGACTGCCAGCTAACCAACTTCCCATCGAGGAATTGGCAGCCGCCAGTGGTGCTTTTCCTGTCGAGACCACAACCACCAAGGTCTGCATCTGAGTAGGCTTGAACGAAGAAGCCTGAGTTAGAAGGGTACCACAAACCTAAAGAGGTAGTTCTCTTGAGATAACGTAATATGTTCTTCACTGCAAGCATGTGAGGCTCCCGTGGATTTGCCTGAAACCGAGCACAGTAACAAACAGAAAACATTATGTCAGGCCTGCTAGCAGTAAGATACATTAGAGAGCCTATCATTTGACGATAAGTGTAAGATCAACAGCCGGTTTATCCAGGGATAGTGAGCTTAGTGCCGAACGCCATTGGGACTTTGACCTTTGAATCTCCCATCATGCCAAATTTTGCTAAGAGAGTCTTTGTGTAAGCTTCCTGGTTGATAAAGATGCCTTCAGGTCCCTGTCTAATATTTAAACCAAGGAAAAAGTTAATGGGACCCATCGAGCTCATTTCAAATTTAGTCTCCATCAGCTTTCTGAATTCAGCTGTTAGGCTAGGATTCGTGGAGCCAAAGATGATATCATCGACATAAATTTGAACGATCATAAGGTGGTTACCTTCCTTTTTGCGAAAGAAGGTTGGGTCAACCGAACCTTGTTTGAATTTGGACATCTTTAAAAATTTAGTCAGCGTTTCATACCAGGCTCTCGGTGCTTGTTTCAGACCATACACGGCTTTATCCAAAATGTAACAATGATCGGGATACTTTTCATTCACGAATCCAGGAGGTTGCTCCACATACACAGTTTCTTCGAGATCGCCATTGAGAAATGCACACTTGACGTCCATTTGAAAGACCTCAAAGTTTTTGTGAGCAGCATAGGCAAGAAATATTCTCACTGACTCCAGCCTAGCTACAGGAGCGAAAGTCTCTTCATAGTCAATGCCTTCCTCCTGACAGTATCCTTTTACGACCAGACGTGCTTTGTTTCTTATAACGTTCCCTTCCTTGTCAAGTTTGTTCCTAAAGACCCATTTGAGACCAACAACCGAGGCATCTGGAGGAGTTGGAATAAGACGCCAGACTTTGTTCCTTTCAAATTCATTCAGTTCGTCTTGCATAGCTTGAACCCAATCGGAGTGATCAAGAGCATGTTAACTGTCTTTGGTTCAACTTTTGATACGAATGAGTTAAACATGCAGAATTCGACTTTTGAGAACAAGGATGCTTGTTTTGCCTTGAGTTGTGATCGAGTCAGAACTGTTTCTGAGATATTACCAACAACTTGAGAGACAGGATGATCTCTGGTCCATTTGGTGAGAGGAGGGAAGTTTGGATCAAAAGATGGATCTAATTCAGCATTTATCATTTCTTCTGGTTCGGACAGACTGTCGAAGTCGTATGACATATCAGCATGCTCCTCCTCGACATATGATCTTACAGGAATGTCTTGTGAATCTTGAGCTATAGTGGTTTCTTTAGGTGTTGAGCATTCGGGCGTTGATGCACCTTCGGTTGGTGAGGCACTTTCGGATGGTGATGCACTTTCGGTTGGTGAGGCACTTTCGGTTGGTGAGGCACTTTCGGTTGGCAATGTGCTTTCGGTTGAAGGTTGAGACCTTAGCTCCCCCTCAACTTTTGAACTTGGCTGGGATGAAGGTGGATCCTCCCCCTCGACTGATGGTGAACACTCCCCCTCGACTGACGCATTGTGTTGGGGAGGGTCTTGTGAACCTGATGCTTCTTCATTCATTCTACTTGCAGCATCGTCAATAAGTTGCTTCAAGTGATCTACCCTGTTGTCTGCTGCATTGGCTTCAGAAAGAGTGGTCTACTCTGGTTCATCAAAAAGCTCCATGAATTTCTCGAATAGATTAGCGATCGAGGCTGTGACTTGGCCAGTTTGAGGAAAGATTTCTCCAGCTGTGTCTTCGTTAGCCTTTAGCTTTTTAACATAGCTATCATCAAAAGTCACGTAGTAAGTTTCTTCTATTTTCCTTGAACGCTTGTTTAACACCCTGTATGCTTTGGAAGTAAGAGAATAACCCAGAAATATCCCTTCGTCAGCTTTGACATCAAACTTGTTGCGGTGTTCTTTGGAATTGAAAATGAAACAACTGGAACCAAACACATGGAAAAAGTTCATGTTTGGCTTCCTGTTGTTGATGATCTCATAAGGAGTGAGAGTGAAGCGCTTGTTAAGATAAGATCTGTTCTGTGTAAAACAAGCAGCAGAAATTGCATCAGCCCAAAAATATAAAGGCAAGGAGGCAAAACTTAGCATTGTTCGGGCAGCTTCACATAAGGATCGGTTTCGTCTTTCGACAATCCCGTTCTATTGAGGTGTGTAGGGAGCTGAGAAGTTGTGACTGATTCCCTTTTCTTCCAGGAATTCTTCAAATTCTTTATTTTTGAACTCCAACCCATTGTCGCTTCTGATATTGCGAACGACCTTCTTCAGCTGTATTTCAATCTGCTTGATGAACACTTTTAGCTTGTGAGTCGCTTCAGATTTAAGCTTCAGAAAGAACACCCATGTAAAACGTGAAAAGTCATCAACAATAACAAGAATATACTTGCTACCACCAATGCTTTCTATAGAAGATGGACCACATAAATCAATATGAAGTAATTCTAGTGGTTCAACAACTTTAGTGTTTATTATAGATGGATGACTTTGACGACTCTGCTTCCCCATTTCACATGCAGCACATAGATGATCTCTATCATACTTGAGCAATGGAAGACCTCTAACGTGACCTCCAGTGACAAGTTTGTTGATATCTTTGAAGTTGAGATGAGAGAGTCTTCGGTGCCATAGCCAGCTTTCGTCAGATTGTGCTTTGGATAACAGGCAGATGGCTGGGTTGCCTTTGATTGGTTTGAGATTTAGGGGAAACATTTCACCTTTGCACTCTGATTTGAGAATAACTTTGTTCGTCTTCTTCTCAATAATTTCTGAACCTTCATCATCGAATGAGACCTTGAGACCAGTACCTCCAACAAGCTGAGATACACTAATGAGATTATGTTGTAGTCCCTCTACATATG